TATGCGGAACGAATTACCCGCCTAAGTGGTCAACTGCGCCAATGTTAACGCCTTCAAGGTGGGCCTGGACGTATGTTGGTCAGCAACGTTCCCCGAGGTTAGTACCTAATATTTAGAGTGGGAAAATCAAGAATAAAATCCATTGTAGCCCAAAATTTCTGATATGGAGTAAACTCGGGCTTGGTTGTTGGATTTGTTCTCAAACTGACTGTCCTGTGCTCTGACTTTAGGAAAACCTATTGACCTTGAGGTCTCTAACCAATGAGGTTAAGAGACATCCTTGTTTGTTTTCCTCGATTTTAGCATACCCCGTTCTGAGAACGGGGTTACACTGAGAGGATCACAAGTACCAAATCATTTGTACGCAGTGTTGGAAGCTACTCCCATCCGCCGACACTACAATCACCTGGACGCGGCATCGGTAACAGCTATATTCCTCGTGCGCAAACTGAACTGAACAGAACTGAACTTCGGTTGCGCCCACATAAAACGACATACACACAGTTATATTCCTATTCAGAGAAAAAGTCAATTTACCAAACACCGCTCCAGAGCTGGAGCTCTTTAGGACAGATAAAAATTGAAGGTGAGCTTGAGTTAATAAAAGAATTTCAGTCGTAGTGGTGCTGACGAATTCATAATGATCATCTAAATTGACCTTGGGCCGTGTTAGTTTGGGAATTGGCTTTGAATTTCGCTCTTGTTCCAACCCTCATTTGGACAGTTAAGACATTAATATGCGTTATGTGCGATTGCAGAAGTGACATGAAGAGTCATTTGGTTGTGTGGACTCTAATTGCCCCACCCACTTGAAAGATGAACGCCTCTAATCAAACTCAATTCGGATATTAAAACTCCAGGCCCGTTGAGGGAAAATTAAGTAAGCCTTTTTCCGTCTAACACTCCTCACTGGAAATGGATCGTTTGCAGACAGATTTTTTTCAATCAAACCATGAATGCATTCTTCGGCCTCGGTCCACATGGAAAAATTTCCATTGATGAAACCACGAGACGTCTTTCTCATTTTATCGGGGCATACGGTATTATTACGGTAATCTGAAGAATGAGCACGACCAGACGAAATGCCAGCTGCCTGATCGATTCCCGTCATGAAAACAAGTTGCTTCAGGTATTCTAACCACTGCACAGTTAAAGTATTTTGGTGGCTAAATGAAGCAATCAGCAGTCCGATGATAAAACATTTCGTTGGCTCATGAACGTCTTTTCCGTAATCAAGATTATGGTTGATCAGAAGTTATTTTGTAACCCTCTTTGTTGAACAAGTCAACGAAAAACTGTGATAGGTCTCGGTGGAAACTGTCTGATACCGCATTCTGGTTGTTCGAACAGGTGAATTGTGTCGATCGAAATAATTATAAAACTATGTTCATCTAGGATTCTAGATGCGGAAGTTCTGTGTAAGTTTCGAAGTCAAAATATCTCTAAGAAGAAACACTCTATCGGTTTTCCATTTTGTTGTAATGTTTTGCAACTAACTCGATCAATTACACATATTTCAGGTGAAGGATTGCATATTGCGAGCTATTTTTGAAGGCCATTGGAGCTGTAAGACCATTTCAACATATTATAAATAATGTGTAATGAATTACAATTATTGTTTGCTAATCATCTTTAAGCATTTCACCAATCAAACAAACTAGTCACACACCCCATTGTAATTGATTTTCCGTAATGTTAGATATCGTCAGTACTGTGCTCTCATCAACTCTTTCAAGCCGTAAAGAAAGTGGATATCGAAAACATCTATAAACATTTACCTGAACTGTTGTCTTGTGGTCTGTTTGATTTTTGGATGAGTGGAACACGTTTCGTGGTACATTCGTTGAAGTTGCGATAAAATGACATTTATTTGAGCGTGTAGTCCGACGGACGCTGTTCGTCCTCGAAAACATACTTTGCTGTACATTATTCTGAAAGAAGAACATACTCCTCTGATTGTTTATAGTTAATTTGACTTCCATGTTATCAGGCTAAGCGGAACCTAAATTGTGTTTTCATTGAAGCATCGTTGAAGTTCACAGTAACCTAAAGTCATGTTAAAGTTGGATGTCGCTTCGTGAGTAAATGCCTACTTCGCCTTGGATAGCCTCTTTCGACTGCAATAAAAGCTATCGGGATACTTAGTTGACACCATGCAAAGTTGAATACGGAATCGATGGAACCGGTTCGTTTATCTTGTTTACCTGATGAAGATTTCTTAACTGTACCTTCAGATATTTTCATAAACTCGATTCCGAGGAGTTCATTTTCCTGGCTTTTCATTACAGTAAGTATATTTATTGTTCCCAAATAAATCATTAGGAATATGCAAATCCTAAATGCCGGTGCTAGTGTTTGATCTATTAAAATTGAAGTATTGAATCCTTAGAATAAATACATCACCAGCTTTCAGTTTTATGAGTTGAACGCCTCTATGTGCACCGATATTGTGGAGCCATTGAAATCAGTGGAATCCCGGACCATCATAAGGAGACTCATCCCACCTGATGAGAACGAAAAAGCATACACAATTCATAACTGTCAGTTTGCCACACCCCTGAAAATGGGAAAACGCATCAGTCTCACCACCTTAATCAAGAATTATGTAATTGATGAATTTATCATGAGCGCTGACTTTGGAGAATAATACAGAAAATATGTTTTTTGTACTTTCATTAGGAGTATAAATTGTCTGCGGTGTTCGTTGTAACCTGGATCTCCGCGTTAACCCTACTTTTGGAAATTATGTGAAACAACAGTGCGCTGATATTTGAAGTTAACATCGTCACCTTCATCATATTCTGGATTTTAATTTAACCATATTTCATGTGCCTCAATTTTAGCAGGTTGAGATGTGAGGAACATTTTACGTTTTAATAGACGTGAGACTTGACAGAAGATTTGAATGTATTTGTAATATACAGAAATGGTACAAATTGTTGTCTGGTAGATAGATGTATAAATTTGCAACTGTGAAAAATTGAGTAGCCTCAGTGAGATTCAAACTCATGCATAGAAGCCTTTGTACAGCGCACACTCTACCAGCTGAACTTGGGTTTGAATCCCATCGAAGCTAGTGAACGTTTCACAGCTTCAACAACAATGCTAATTATTGTATCATCAATCACGTATGTGCGTCCACATCAGTTTCACGATATACTACATTCATGCTCCCATGTTCGTGACGTTTTTTTGAGCCAATGTTTGCTGTTTCACAAGCCCCGTGTTAATCTCTGTTGTGAAACAATTCGGGAAGTTGATATCTGGTTGCACGTTTATTCCAAATCGGCCATCATTTGCCATGCATCGAATGAGTTCAACTATTTTCACATAAACAACACATTTCTGTTGCGCTCGATTGAGAGCAATATCACCCTTCATTTGTATTGGAAATGCTATTCTGTGGTTTGAAGGAGAAAGACTTTATTCTCTTTTCCAGATCTCTTAATCTTCTTTCTCGATGCAGCGGCATTTCAAAGACCGTTTTGGTTGACTTTATTGTGAGCAAGCATTTTGACTCATGCGATCGATTTATCAGCCATATCCAGTCCAACGAGGAACACTACCTGCACTCCCATCTCATTAAATCGGTCTCTCATCCGAGTACCCGTTCCCAATTTCGGATTCTTTATGCACGCACCACCACACATAAAAACAGCATGATCCCTTATTTTGCTCGCATCTTGATCAACCGAGCAAATATTATTGCTGACTTGAACAATCATCTCTCACATTAGGATTTTACGTAAACCCATCTGTTTGTCATTTAGTAAACGTATATTTTCTTCTTTTTCTGATACTTAACGTTTTTTTTTCAACTGTAACATGTCGAAAATGCTGAAAATTCATCCTATCGGGTGCATAAAGCTTTAATTGACTTGACTTGACTTGACTTGACTTGAATTGAATGCTTGCCGTCTTGTGAGACAGGAGACTGTGGGGAGCCAAGCACCATGAGCTAAATGTGAACACATTTACATATTTTTTGGAGATAAACGGACACTTCTGTGTTGGAAGTGAATAAAGGACAAGACATTCTCGAGGATGCCAGTCAGTGCAACACTTATTTGATTCCAGTGCCGCGAGAGTGCTACCCCGAACCCATACCAAATAATAACAGGTGAGTTTATGATGCCTCAGCAATGACTTATGTTTATCACAACAAATGATGGTCTGAATTTAGGAAATTAAATTAAGTATACTTGTTATTTTTTAATACTTACTATGGCAGTTTTTATTGAAATTTAGTGCAAATATGAATGCGCAAAAACGACTGCTCGCATCAAGTGTGATAGTACCGCACACATCTTTGATGGAAGATGAGCAGTATCGTCTTGCCCCAATACCTATACAGCTAATTGCCCCTAAATGTTCAGCACCTATTTTATCCAGATCGAAGTCTTATTGGCTCATCTACCAAATAATGCACCATTATCCACCGGTCGAGCCCATTACGTGCATTGTCCGGTTGTCTCGTACACACCCAAACGTGTAGACGGACTGCTGGTTTGTTCGTCTGTAGGTATGCTTATTTGTTTGTCCATCTGTCTGTCCATACCTCGCTCAGTTCCCGCTCTCTCCCTCGCCGGCTTCCTATCGGTTCCTCTTAAAACGGCTGTCCGATTTCTTTATCATTCGAAAAGCGCAGGTATTAACTATGTGGTCGTCGTTGTCGCCGCTCATGTGCTGATTGCGAACAAGGACGCTGATTCTTTAGAATATGTGAATAGCCACTGATGAAAAACGCAAAATCCGTTAAATGAATAATGGTTGCGTTTGTTTCACATGTTGAAAGGATACATCTCCTCAATACTTTTGTATATATTTGAACAAGTGAGCAAACTGCTTTCCACACAGTCGGACATCCCACTTTTACACCGCTTTCGCATTGTTTCTCCTACGAGTGAATACGTGTCACTCTCATGTCTGGACCGGAAACGATTGTTCCAACGACATCAACAACGCGTCGGGTGGTGGTGGCGCACTCGCGTTCGGCATCCATGCCGTCGGAACTACCGACCACCACAGTTTTCAGTTCCGTGCCTCATCCAGTCCCTCAGACCACATCGAGTATGACTCCAGTACCCAGATCGACGGATGTGGATTCGGATCGATTCACTCAGAGCGGACCACACTATCCGGTTACAATTTATTCTCCCCAATTAGGTCGTCATTTTACCCTATCCAGTAGGGCTAATTTGTGCGGAATGCGGGTATCACGTGGCTTTACACCACCGGGTAGTGTGGCCCGGCGTATGCCTGTTTCGAAACTGATTACAGCAACCAAGTTTAGCTCGTGTACTAATTCTCCACTGGCAACACATAAACCGGTCACCGAGAATGTGAATGGTCAGAGTGCCACTCATGAGTGAGTTACCACCATCTTACCGTTTCACATTCCGATGGACGTTGGAAACTTTTTGTAGCTTTGTTACGAACCTCTGAAATAGTTCCGATTGATTATGATCTATGAGATGCATTAGGTATATGGGAAGTTATAATTACGTTTTCAGTGACTAATGAGTGTGGTAAACACAGGGATCATATTCTCTTACCCCACGTTTCACCTAAACTATCAAGAGGGAAATTCTCAGTGGTGCAGATTAGCATTAGACTTATACGAATTTCGTATAGTACACATCTGACCCGGTTGTTCAAATCCATCGGTAATCTGAATTCTTCAACGCGCCTCCGAGTGGTATCTCCGTTTTTCTTAAAGACTTGCTGTGCAAATGATTATTCATTTACAGATGAAGTAGGTGATATAGATACACAAGAGAATGCATATGATCACTTTTTCCAATGAGCGCTCAAACAAAAGTATCTAACTCATTTATGTGAGTAACTTTGGGAAAGCGAAACGTCCCCGGAAAGAATTTCAGTAGTTTTACAGAAAAACGGAATATCGGTCAGCTAAACTTGGCTTTTTTGGCACACTGGAGCTACCAATATTCCGTGAATGTATCCATATAAAACACGCAGAAGTCTAACGGATTTAGTTGCACACTGATTCTTGTTCTGTTATCCCTTATTCTTGATATTATTGCAAATCAGGAGGATGATTTGTTGACCTATGACTCCTGAGATCAGTAAGTCAGGTGAAAATGCATTTGATGATGTTTTTATCGGAGAAATAACTGCAAATGAGAGACAATGAGATGACCTAATGGTATTCATTTTGAGCTGTATCAGTTGAGCATAATCTCAAAGTGTATCGGTCAAACACCTGTTTGGAAGAGATGCGACACTCCATTTCGATCCCTTTGGACATAAAATGTGGTGTTCATTGAAATGACGGAGGTGCGGGGTCTTTCATGAGCTTGTGCCTAGTTTCAGCGAAATAACTGCATGATCTTATAGGGGTTTACAAAACTGTATGTGCTAATATATACTCACATTGTTATTTAATAAAAGTCATTATGCAACATTAAGAATCAGAGACGCTATAGTGTGAAATGACCAATTCAATGCCCAAAAAGAATGACTTATTTTGCTCAAGTGTTCTATCTGTGGGCTTCAAATGAACTCTTGGGTTACCTGTGAAACCAAACACACACACACCTGTGATCGTTTTATTGGTTCTACGAAACGAAAAATTAAATAATCGGTACATTCCCATCAGACGCACATTTTCTATCTTTCTATATCGGAAAATGTGATAAATTCTTATGCTCTTCTGTTGGTCATATTTTTCTCAATTATCTCAATTCAGTTTGGGGTCGACGTGAAAATCAAGTGTAGGAGCGCATGAAAAGGGGAGCATAAACTACTTACGCATTCTGTTTTAGACAGAAGTGGGCGGAGAGGTCAGTATATATTGGCTCGACGAAGTTTATTTCTATCACCCCACATTTGTTCAGACAAAGCTTCCACCTACAACTGGGCGAACGTCATCGGTTGACTGTTGCCTCTGTGAATAACCGTTTTATGTTTAGATGATTTATACTAATTACCTTAAGAAAAGCAAATATGTACCTATTGAAAAGCGGTTAGTTCACTTGAGATCAGTGCTTTGGTTTTCATTCGCAAATTCTTTGAAAGGTTTGATACATTCGCTAGAACTTTTTCTAACAAAATGTGTCAATGACGAAAAGCTCAGTGGCAATTCAAACAGCAACTTCGAACTGTACATATAGTGCTGCAGTGATGCCTGCATCGGCCAATACGAGGATAAACTCAAAGCCAAAACTGTTGATTATGCTGCTTTTGAACCTCTTGAAAAGACTATTTTTGTATGATTTCCTAACCTATGGGATGCACACAAAATATATGAGGTTTTACAAACAGAAACAAAGCCCAAAGTATCCAGCGGTAAAAATTTGATTTTGTTTGAAATTATTCAATTCTGTCTGATCCGACTGATTTGATTAGTTTTTTCATCACAATTTGAACCAGATTCGAATGCGCTCATTACTATTACGTGTATTGTATGCAATGGATAATTATTATGGCTTATAAATCTTCAAAATCAGAATCAATCGCCTGAACTTACAGGAGAATAAGCAAGGCTTTTGAACATTCTCGTGGTTTAAACTGCACGAACTTCCTTTTGACTAAAATTAATTTTTTATAAAGGTAGCAATGACATACTCTAATGCATGCAACGCGGACAAATCGTATCTAACGCTCCTGGATTTGAAACATATATATACAGAATTGAGTGGTTGCTTCATGTGTGTAATTCAGATATCCTGGTCACCTTTCATCGAAGTGTTTAAAGCCATCCAAGCAGCACGTTTTCTCTCCCGTTTATTTTCCAATAAACCATTTACTTTATAACTTTGTAAAGTCTCTCACAACAGGAAATGCTTGATTCAATTACCACCAGTTTTTGTTTGAACTGGAACGGAGTAGACAAGAATATGGTACATACACAAACATACAAGTACATTCTTGCACATTCCCCCCATGATCGTCATCAGACGTCTCTCTCCCAACCATTACTTTTGGGATACAACAAACACGCATCCGCCGTTTTCGTGAATATGACCGGGTGGTATTCCGATCGTTGATTTAGCACTTTGCTTCGTCGATTCGTTGGCCGGAAGTGAAACTTGGCGGAAACAATGTTCACGCTCTATATTAATAGAGGTGTCACCTGTCTTGACAGAGTCAATATCCGCTGTCAGCCGGCAATATACGTGTGGTCTAGCGAGAAAGAACAGCCAATTGTACGCATTGCGATTCCAATGTGATTGGAGATGGAGGAAAATCATTATGCAATGGTTGGTACAAAATAACTCATGATGGAACGATATCAAAAGGATTTCCTGTATTCACTTTAGGTGATCAAGGTCGATATGAGCACAAAACAGTGCTTAGGAACCAGTTGCATAGAATTTTCTCCTGTGAAAAATGACACCCTATTTGCTCACACATTCAAAGGTACAGAAAGTTAAAGAAAAATAAAACTGATGCAAGCGAATAATACCGTTATTCAACCACCGGATATTGAATATCTAGAGAGAGACAGGCTCTAATTACCCACAACAGTTTTATAGATTTTCGTGTTTATGAGAACGGCAAACTGGACCAGACCTGCCATTGACTGTTATCAGTTGAAATATATTCATTAGACTTGATTAGAATTTTTGGAGAATTTTCAATTATAATATTATTTCTAAATGTGTTTTGATGAGAAAAATGTTTCACCGAAGCCATGGCAACCTCCTACCCCTCATTTTGTTCCATAAGCACACTCATCTTGTTAGAGAAAGCATAAATTCTGCAAAGCATTATTTATTTCTGAGCAAACAGTTCATCGTTTCCATCCAGAACACAACATAGAGGATTGACCCACGCGGTCATGGAGACCGATTGTTTTGTTATGGCATCTTTTCAGCGAAATACCTTAGCTTTAGACTGACAGGCCAAACAACTGTTTGGACTAAAGGGCAAGCTGTGCGTGACATCGGCGTAAGGTGAAGGTAATACGACTCGAAGATTGAAAACTCCACCGTATTCCCGACTATCGACTGGAAATAAATAAATATGTTTGCAGGCCAGTTGCTTATAAGACATTACACACAAGTCGCAACTTCTTTTGAGAAAAGAAGTTATTGGATTCAATGAGAACAGCCACGGGAAGACCCATTGGGATGATGCACGTTTTTCCGTTCGGAAAGACAGTCAAATGGAAAGAAAGTGCACAAAACATAGCATATGGTGGAACTCAAGTTCTCACATTCCAAAGATGTCTGTCACTAAATTTTGATTCAACATTAACATATTCTTATGGGTTTTAACACATTCCTAACCGATTGCAAACTGGGATGCATTAAGTTTCACTTCTAGTTCCGAGATCAGCTCACTACATTTTCTGACAAATTTATCTAATGGCTTTATTCAAAAGTCACGTTTGATGAATCTGATAAATTGCTGTATCCTATGAGTGTAAATCAACAGCCAGAAGAGGTAACACACAGATAAAAATGCGCCTTAAACTCTTCTCAATTCATTTAATTTTCATTTGGCTTTCGCCAAAATCCGTGCGTAAATATACGTTCTGCACAAAAGGCTCAATTACTCAAACAGTGTACACGAGAAACCCTGCGGAATGTTTTATGTTCAGGTAATTGTGCATTTTTTATTGCATTCAAAATCTGCTGATGGTATTAATAGGCGCTTTACATCGACGATACATGATTATTATTGTCGCATAGCACAACAGTTAGAAATTGTAAAACAAATTAAAGTCAAAGTTTTATTTTTTTTGTCGAATTACTCAGTTCCGATTTTTGTCGCATGTCAATATCTACGTTAGCCCTTCAAGGGAATCAGCGGTTAAAACAGCTATTATGTGGGGCTATTCAGGCGACATGTCGATAATTTTACCATTAAGTACGCATACTATTAATCGATATAATCTAATTGGTCAAACCTTTTCAGCTTTTGGCACAAAAACTAAATAGATGCAATATAAAAAATCGAATTTATAATGTGAGACGAAAATTCCGGATTCGGAACGAGCAGGTTTATACACTCAATGACTTACCTTAATTGAGCGTGAAACAGTGTGAATGGGTAACCTACCTTCTGTATTTGTGGTGAGCATGGAGAACTAAAGGAACTCAGCAAAATTGGTGTAACGATCTTCAAAATGAGCCCGTTTGTTTCTAACTTGCTTTTTGAACAGATCTCATCATCAAATGTATTGCAGCTCTAGCCAGGTGGCTTTATTATTTCGGACATTTGATGCCTGAAAAACAGTTCTGTGACCCGAAAGCTCGTAAGAACAATCACCTTTTAAGTGATGCATTGGCACCAGTTGCTAACGCGTTTAACATGACAACAGTGGTCAACATCGGCTAGGTTTATCCAATCACACTCTTATATTCAGATACCTTGGGATCCCGCTGGAGACCAAATCTCA